TGAATATTTATCCAACAAATACATCAACATAAACTGGCAAAGATATCCACACCCCTATCTTCACTATACCATTACTTACAATAGCCAAGATATATAAGCAAACTATGTGTCCTTCTATAGATAAATTAATAAAGAAGATGCAGTATATATATTACTCAGACATAAAAAACAATGAAATCTTGATATTTAGAGCAACATTCATGGACCGAGTGGAGGGTTATGCTAAGTGAAATAAGACTGAGAAAGACAAATACCATATTATGTCACTTACATTAGGCAATCTAAAACCACAAAGCAAACAAAACAGAAAGGCAACCCATATCTGCAAAGAACAAACTGATAGTTGCCAGAAAGTAGTGAGTTGAGGACATGAATGAAATTAGAAGAATATGAATAATAAGTGCAAAATTCTACTTATAAGATATACAAGCCACAGAAAACTATTGTACAGTAAAAGGAATGTGTCAATATTGTAATAACATGGCACGGTGATAGATAGTTACTAGAGTTATCATGGTGAACACATCATAAGGTATGTAAATGTCAAAGCACTATGTCATATACCTGAAAGTAATATATTGTGTGCCAACTAGACTTAAAAAAACTTTTTTTTAATTGACCAATGCACTCCTTTGGTCTTCACACATTGTCACGTGAGAATAGGATGCTTCGGAGCCATCACTAATTAGCTCATCAGGAAAGCAGACATAAGCACTGACAACCTAACAGTTGAATAAGGGACAGCACCTAGAATACTGATGAAATCACTGAACAACCAAAACAGTACTCGTTCCTGTAGTTTCAGCCTCTGTGAATTAGCCACCCATTATTACCTGAAGCTAAAAGCATTCTAACTGAGAAAATTCCCAAGGCCCCAGGATAAGATCTAGTCCCTTCTGTGGTAGTAAAGACTTTCATAAGCTTGCCTTAGCTAGGCACTCACCTCATTCCCAACCATTCCCATAGCACACATTTTGCACATTGAAGCGGCAGTGCTCGTGTGCTGCCTCGCTTAGTTATCGCCCAAAGTTAACATGCACATAGTAGCCCTCGGACTCATGTTCCTGTTGCCACACATCACCCTTCTGCCCCTTTACCCAACTTCTCCATCTGCAGGCTTAAATTAAACCCCACCCACGTTTTTATTTTATTTTATTTTATATGATTTATTTTATTTGTGTGTGTAGGTGAATTTTGGAGGACATTTATTATACAATAGAAGTTAGGGATAGTGAAACAAGAAAGGGCTGGGGAAATGAGCTAGGCTCACTAAGAAGTCAGGTTTGGGAAGTTTGCCCAGGATGAATTGCTAGTGACTGTTGCTGCTCTGGACCCTTCCTGGGGTCACTCAGAGTTTAAGTAAATCATCCCTGTGAAGAAAGAAAAAGGGGAAGGCTTGGGTGTGCAAGCATGTCTTTATTTTTTAACAATTTTTAAACATTGATATGAGAGAGAGAGAGAGAGAGAGAGAGAGAGAGAGAGAGAGAGAGAGAGAGAGAGAACATTCGTTTGTTGTTCCACTTATTTAAGCATTCATTGGTTGATTCTGTTATGGACCAGGATCAAGGATCAAACCCACAACTTGGCCTATTGATACAATACTTTAAGCAACTGAACTACCAGCCAAGATTTCACTACATTTTAAAAACTGCAATTAGCATTATGGATCAAAGTGGCTGGCACATGCTACACAACAATAAAAAAAAAGAATAAATAATGATAATGATAAACTAGTGAGTTCTACCACCTAGCAAGCATTAAATAAAGTATAGTAACTAATAGAAATGACAATGACAATAATAATCTCTTGGAGACTGTGTTTTTAAAGTATTTCAATTCTGCAATATCAGGACAGCATTCAGTACCTAAAAGGCAACTGAGAGTTAAATAGTAGATCAATAGGCAGACAAATTAATAACTGAATTTTGACATTTTCTTTGAAAATTCTGATGTAATAAACACAGAAATAAAGCAGAGACAGCTCTCATATTATGAGCTCAAGGTCAAAATGATATTGCATCTTTGTATTTCCTATAAGTTACAAAACCAACATACCCAAGTCCTCTGGTAAGTCTACTAAGTCCAAGGTGTCCTCAGACAGTTCAGATTCAGATTGCACAACGAAGTAGGTGCCACATCTGTGTACCACACTGGCATCTTTGTCACTGTGAAACACTTTTGTATTTTTATTATAATTTTTTTAGTCCGAGTTGGGCTATTTGTATATTTATTTTTTATTATCTTTTTATCAGAGCATCTTGTTCTAAAGAAATTACAGCATCCTGACAATTATCCAACAAACAGAAGGAAACATCTTGTTCTACTGAATCAACATATCTCATTCTGTTCTGACTTCTGAGGAATCAAGTTGATGATAGTGAGGCCTTTTGCCATACTATGTAAAGTATCCTATGATTCTGAACAGGTATTGCCTTTCTGATTTCTGTGCTATTGGTAGGTATCTTTAAAAAGCAACCACATTGGACCCAGCCAGCATGGCTCAATGGTTGAGGGTCTACCTATGAACCAGGAGGTCAAGGTTCCATTAGCTCTCAAGGCACATGCCCCCTTTGTGGGCTAAATCCCCAATGTGTGGCATGCAGGAGGCACACAATCAATGATTCTCTCCCCCCCCCCCCTTTAACATAAATTGACCTTTATTTATTGTACTAAAGTCTGTTTTGCTTTTGATACAAAGTAGGGTTTCATTACAGAAAATTCCAGTCTGTTGGAACAGTACCTGTGCCCATTGTACCATCACAGTGCACACTGTCTGCAGCTCAGAGCTTAACACTTAATGCCCTGAGTGCACTTAAAACTCAAGACAGCCTTGTGTCTCAGCTGTCTGAGCTAGAAACTTGCACCTATTAACAACAGGTCTTATAATTGATGTTTCTCTGTCTCTCTCTCTTTTTCACCCTTTCTCTCTGAAATCAATAAAAATATATTTTTTTAAAATCTCATTAGGACTTTGCACAATAAGTTTTGCAGTTATTTTTGTATGCCATTTGTTTGTGGTACCAGGAAAATATTGTTTTAGCTACTTTTTGAGTGAGACAAATCACTATGTAAAACAGGTTTCATTTACTAAATATAATCCATTGCCTGTCAAAACTAAACAAAAGGTCCATTCTGTATATACAAGTCCAATCTGTTACAATGTGAATATAGAGGAATATACAACATCCTAACTTAAAATCATTTTCCTTTTTTACATATAGAAATCATATAGGATGTTAGGGGTTAATACTAAATAAATGAACTTTTCAAACAACATTGCCCTGACTTTAAAATTACCTACAATTAAGTTACAAATAATACTGAATACTATTCTATTAAGAAAGAGATTAAGAAAACTAATACATGCAATTTACACATTTTTTTGATTTTTATTGTCCTTCACTATTAAAACTTCCTTACTTTTAATCCATCTATGGTAGGAGCAGCAAGAGTAATTCACTACCAGAAGACTTACCAAGATTGTTACTTTTAGAAGGCTCCAAAGGTCTTCTTTTTTCTTTTTTTTCAAAAGTTGGTTGTTGGTTGCTGTGAATAAAAATTTGTGATAAATAATATTACTATCTTAATACAAATATAAAAATATTTTCCAAATATAAATTCTTAGCATATGTCAGATAACATTAGACTTAATATTAAAACAATAATTATATTAGACACTTCAAATTTGTAAGTTCTATAAACTTCTTATGAAGCATGTAATTTTTAAAGAAAAGTAACATAAAAGAGTCATGATTTGAGGGCAATATAGTTCAATGAATTAATTAGAGTTAGCTTGACATAATGGCAAGTCTCTTGAACTCAGATATTCTAGTTCTATAACCAACAGTTATTTGTTCTCAAACAAGTCAGTTTTCTGTGGCTCAAAGTACTCCTCTATAAAATAAGAATCTAACTGCCTCACTTTAGAAGGCTGCCAAGATATTGAAATGAAAAAATACAGCAAAAAAAGAGTTGCTCAGTAAGCGGGGGGGGGGGGGGGGGGGGGGGGGGGGGATCTGTTATTGAACTCTATTTGTTGACCCTGTTTTGGAATCCCAAAGAAATGGTAATGTGGGATTTTTTAATAGACTCTAACATTCAAATGTTGCTGTTTTCAGAAAATGGTATTAATTTTGGTTATTACCTGTCCTTTCTTTGTGGTCTGTAATTCAGGATGTCTCAGTTACTATATAACTTGCAACTAAATTTATGTACAAATTCATTACCTCATGAAGTCAGATAACACAATGCTCCCTTATTTTTGTTGTGAATCCTATGAACTGTAGAACACTAATAGAAGTCAGGACTTTGCCTGGACTACTACTAGCCTTTCTCTACCTACTCACACTGTGAACCAGCAGATCTTTATGAGAATGATGCTTAATATCCCTTTCCACTCCCATTGGCTTGAAAGATAGAATCCTACTTGTCACACATGGATACTGATGGGTCATGGATCATGCACCCATAGCAATGGTAAGGACCAATAACCTAGTTTTTTGTTTTGTTTTGTTTTGTTTTGTTTAATAACTTAGTTTTGAATCAGATATTTCTAACTGGCTTCCATGTTAGGCATAATTTAAAATAATTTGTAACCTGAGGCAAATTCAACTCAAATGGGAATGTTTCATTCTTATGGCAAGGAAATCCCTTGAGGGGCCAACCTCAATTATGGAGTCTTAGGCAGGCTGCTGTCTATTTCTCTGGGAAAGGTGACATGGGACCTTTCACTACCTAAACAAAGATGCACTAGTGTCTTTGAGGGGCAGATCTAGTAACAAAGGAGAAAGTCTGGTCTTTTCCTGAAGCTTTATTTCAATCTCTCAGACAGCTTAGAATGCTTCCAACTAACACCTGCTTCTTCTATCCTACACCCTTCATTGTTTCACTGTCCCCAGCTTTAATAAATTATCTCCAAATAAAAAACAAGGAATGAACAACTGTACCTTTCCATGCGATCAGCTTTTGAACTTTTAGTTACTAAAAGTTCGACCATTTTCTCTTTGTTTCCATATTTAGCAACTGAAAATGGTGTGAAGTCATTCTGTATAAAAGGAAAAAAACAGTTTACAATTTATTAAATTACATATATAAATACACACACAAACTGAATATTAAAACTTATACAAGATCCTCTGAACATATAATACAGAAAGTAAATAAAAAGTAGCCCCTTTTGCCCTGGCTGGTGTTCCCCTGGTTAGAGCACTGGCCTGCTCATGGAAGGGTCCAGGTTTGATTCCCATTCAAGAGATTGTACCTGGGTTGCAAGTTTGGTCCCCTGCTCTGGTCAGGAGGCACCCACACATTGATGTTTCCCTCTCTCTCTCACCTCTCAATCCTTCGCTCCCTTCCACTTTCTTTAAAATCAATGGGGGGAAAACCCTCTGGTGAGGAGGAAGAAAAAAAAAAAGATCCCCTATCTTCTCACCCCTGTGCAGTCACTGGCTATTCTTCCCTTTAAAATGCCCTCCACTGCCTCTTCAACAGATTAACTGCAACATGATTCTCCAAATCTCACTTCCAACAAGAACAGTCCGGGTTCCAAGAATCTTTGTTCCTATCCTGGTATCCTGTTGCTATTTTGTTGCCTGTGGACTGGGGCTTCCTCTTCCCACCTGCACTCACCCAGCTCCTCTTGCTGGGCACTAGGCCTCCTCCTCCCACCCACCTCCAGCAGCACCATTTCCTAAGCCCCTTCCAGCATAGGAGCCAGTCCCTAGCATCACTTCACTCCCCCAGGCCTTCAGTCCTTAGTGGGCTCTGAGCCTATCTCCCACTCCTATCAGGCACTAACAGGAAGTTCTTCCTTCTGGGGTGGAAGGGTCGATGGGAGGCAGAGCTTTGCCCCTTCCATGAACACTACATTTCCCCAGCCCCTGACTGGGCTTTGGAGTTGTTGCCATGGTGACAGGGCCTGATCTATTATATTTAGTGTATGTATGTGAGAAAAAAAATGCTTGTGGAAAAGAAAAAAAGAGAAAGAAAAGAGAGAGAGCAAGAGTGAAAGTGAGAGCAAGAGCGAGAGCGCAAGCTAGGTAGGAAGGAAGGAAGAAAGGAAGGAAGGAAGGAAGGAAGGAAGGAAGGAAGGAAGGAAGGAAGGAAGGAAAAAATACTGGTGTAGCTCAGTGATTGAGTGCTGACCCTTGAACCAGGAGGTCATGGCTGAATCCCCGGATGAGGATGGGCAGGAGACTGTCAATTCATAATTATTTCTCATTGATATTTCTATCTCTCTCTCCCTCTTACTTTCTTTTTCTTTAAAATTAATAGAACATACAATTTTTTAAAAGATTTAAACTAAAGTAAAAACATGTATTTTAAATATTTTTTAAATAAAGTTACGTGATCTATACCTTGTTTCTCGCTTCCATATTTTCCATACAGGAAAGTAGCTTTTCCACTATAGCTGTGTTGGTACCAAGGAGAGCATAGTGGAGAGCAGTGTTGCCGTGGATGTCCATCACATTTGGATTGGCACCATGGTCTAGTAGAATGGTGGCACATTCTTCTTGCTCATATTGTATGGCCTGTCAGTATTATGCCAAGAAATAGATTATAAGTTCTAGGAATTCAAAGTAAACATTCCACAAGTTTCACCAATGACTTCTAGTTAAATGAGATAAACTCATTTTTATCCTAACTAATTAAATTAAACCCATCTCATGTTGATATAGTTGGCGAGTACATACGTGAATGAGAGCAGTTTTGTTGTCAATATCACAGAGGTTCAGTAAGCAACCTCTGCGTGTCAGCAGTCTCACCACTCTGGGAAAGCCCTTGCCACAGGCCACATGTAGAGCAGTCCTATAAAAGTGAGAGGACTCCTTAGGAACTTAGAGTGCACTAGATGCAAGCATTCAATTGCACATACAATTGTAAACATTTCTCTCTATGCCTTCAAAGCAAATATTTAATTTTTTTCTGTGGATAGTACAATATTTATTAGTTCTTGTTACTCATCACAATAGTGAAGGAGAAACCCATTTGAATACAGAGAGGATGACCTGGGAATTTGGCTAAACTTGGTTCTAATCCTATTTTAACTGTCACTTATTAGCTGTCACTGTCATTTCTTGACTTCAATTTCCTCCTCAACAAAATGGGGATAAAAATAATAGGTGTCTCACAGGACACCATTGTTTATTTTAATGAGAATCTATGCAAAGTATTTACTACAGTACCTGGCACACAAAACACAGCTCAATAATTGTGATAATATTAGTATCATTATTACTACCACTTTACAAAGACAACATTTCAATTAAGTAAACTGATATCATTATAACTACTTTGAAGATGTGTTTAAAGAATCAGAAAGAACACAGTATTTAAATTATTCTAGAATGATTATATTATCTCACTTTAATATCTCTGATATTGAAATCCAATTTTTAGTTCAGAATGTCTTACAGCTATTATTGGCAGCATTTAAAAAAATATTGGTACATAAAATACTGACATCATGCCATGGTGCATAAAATACTGACATCATGCCATTACATTAAGAAATGTAGTAATAATAACTACAACAGACCTCTTGCAATTCTAGTCAAATGGTTGGCATTTAAATAAATTTTAATTCTTAAAAGCCTTATGGGGGAAAGAAGACTTAAAAAGCAAAACACGAATTTTGCTTTTTAAGTAATTCTTACTCTGATTTTCAAAGGGAACTTAAACCAAAGAAGAATCAGAATTCAAATACATAGGATGGCTCATTTTGCTCAATATTTAGATTCATAGATTGTAGGGAAAGCATATGTTCCCAATGATCAATATTTGTATTTCATATTATTATACATTTCAAAAGGGCAGGCAAAGGTTATCTTTTACAATTTCCTACATTCAAAAAAATTTGTTTTGTTTAAAAGCAGGGAGAAAAAGCTTCAACCTGATGATTTCCTAACACTTCAATTATAAATTTCTCATTTTGCTCATATTAGACAACATGAAGATTGTAAGGATGAAAAGGGCCTGAGAGTTGGAGGGAAAGGGTCCTGTGTAGAATATTTTATTATAGAATAGGTATTCAGATTATATTTCATGTAAAAAAAATGGATTGAAAGAATGGGTATACATAGTGGAAGAGTTTAATATTTTAAAATAATTCTTTATAGCCGAAACCGATTTGGCTCAATGGATAGAGTGTCGGCTTGGGGACTGAAAGGTCCCAGGTTCAATTCTGGTCAAGGGCATGTACCTTGGTTGGGGACATATCCCCAGTAGGGGGTGTGCAAGAGGCAGCTGATCGATGTTTCTAACTCTATCTCTCTCCCTTCCTCTCTGTAAAAAATCAATAAAAAATATATTAAAAATAAATAAAATAAAATAAATTTTAAAAAATAAAATAAAAGCAATCAGGCTGTTTGCTTTAAAAAAATAAAAATAAAAATTCTTTATAGATTAAAAAAACACTTCAGCATTAGTAATAATTTTTTACATTTTCTCTCTTTTTAAAAATGTTTATGGTTGAGAGTATTACAGATGTCCTCCTTTTTTCCTTCGTTGTCTCCCTCCACCTCGTTCCTGCCCCGCCTTAGGCATTCAACACCCTACTGTCTGTGTTTATTGGTAAAATCTTAGGTTAATCTCATCCTGCCTCCTCTGTTCCCCTTGCCTCTGAGATACAGCCATGTTTCCATGCCTCTGGTTCTATTTTATTCATTGGTATTTTCTGTTTATTAGACTTCTTATTCATTTATTTTGATTTTTAGATTCAATTGATGACATCTACACTAATAAAAGAGAAATATTCAACTTGACTGTACCTCCATGACACTCACCAGCCAATAAGGAGTAAGCATGCAAATTAACCCAGCAAAGATGACTGCTTAATTTGCATACACAGGTGCGAAGAGGCTGGACAGGGTCGGATGCCTGCTATGGCCGGGAGGGGGATTGTGGAGGGAGCTACCAGAGTGGTGCTCCAGTCAGTGCAGAGAAGACTCAAGGCTCTGGCTAGAGTGAAGACTCCAACCAGTCAAAGCAAAGACAGAAGGCGTCAGAGGAAAACCGATGCCGACAGCCAGGGAAAGGAAAACCTATTGCACAAATCAATGCGGACAGATCTCTAGTACAATAATAAAAGCATAATATGCTAATTAGACCAAATATCTTTCCAGAGGACCTTCCAGGTGAAGCCGGGGCTATAGCCACAGGATCAAGGAAGCCACCACAGCTGTGAGGAAATGATTCAGGCAGCTGTTGAAGCTGCGAAGGCCTACTCTTGCTCAAATTGCATGCATCAGGCCTCTAGTAAATATATATTTATTGTCATATTATTGTTTATGTATTTTAACTACTCCTCCTCTTTTTCTTCTCCTTTAATGTTCTTCCTTAAGAATACCCTTCAAGCTGAAACCGGTTTGGCTCAATGGATAAAGCGTTGGCTTGGGGACTGAAGGGTCCTGGGTTTGATTCCTGTCAAGGCATATTCTTTGGTTGCGGGCATATCCCCAGTAGGGGGTGTGCAAGAAGCAGCTGATCAATGACTCTCTCCCATCGATGTTTCTAACTCTCTATCTCTCTCCCTTCCTCTCTGTACAAAAATCAATAAAATATATTTAAAAAAAAAAGAATACCCTTCAACATTTCATGCATTACTATTTTAGTGGTTGTGAACTCTTTTAGGTTGCTTTTTGTCTGTGATGCTCAGAAATAAATTTTAACACATTTTGAACCTATTTTTCACTAATGTAAGATCATAATCTGCTCATGTGTATGTATAACCATAATGAGTTTTTCTTATTAAGACATTACCTTTTTAAGAAGTACTGAGTGAAATAAACTATATAACTTAGCTTTTAGTATAAATAGAATTGATGTGTATAAAGAATATATCTGTACTAGAGGCCCAGTGCACAAAATTTGTGCATGTGGTGGGTCCCTAAACGCAGCCTGAACTCTCTTACAACTGAGACCTCTCAAGAGATGTCCAGCTGCCGGTTTAGGCCCAATCCCACAAAGAATCTATAATAATAAAAGGATAATATGCTAATTAATCCAGACATCATTCCAGACAAAGCTGAGGTCATAGAGAAGCCAGCCTGGGTCCCTGGTGCCAGAGGGAAGCTGGTGCTAGCAGTCGGGGGAAAAGAAGGCCTATTCTTGCACAAATTTCATGCATTAAGTCTCTAGTATTAGTATATCACTTTTTTATTAGGTCTCTCACAATCTGAGATTGCTGATTTCTAACACTCACCCTCCTGCCAAAATCCCTATGCAAATGTCAAAAGCAAATTAATTTTAAGCATTAGTATAAGGACAATCACTGGTCATCTTCACAAACTTTATGGATAGAAAATATTATTTTCTTCTTTTAACTTATTCCCTTTTTTCCAGGGGCATTAAATATTTTTTCATTTGTCCATTGGTTAATTATACTTATCCAAAAAGAACTTTGTTCACGTTCAAGTTATAGTTTTTTGTTCTTGATTTCAAAGACTACTCTGTAAAAGGATGACATCTCTTCTCTGATACACATATACTGCAAATATTTTGCAAGAACATTTTCTTTTATTTTGCTGAGACTATTTTTCTTGTAGACCGAGTGCTTGAAAATTTTTTAAAATATATTTTTATTGATGAGTAAAATATATTTTAATCAATGTTGAAAGAGGATTATTGATTAGCTGCCTCTTCCACATTCCTACAAAAAATAGAGCCCGCAACCCAGACATATGCCCAGACCAGTAATGGAAACATGATCTCCTGGTTTTTAGGTCAGCACTCAATTACTTAGCCATGCCAGCCAGGCTTGAATTTTTATATTGCTCAATCAACTTCCAGAAATGTTTTACTTTGAGTCTTTTTCAACATTAAAATATATATATAAATAGGCATTTGTGTATTCTCCTGGTACTTCTCTTTCACTGTGTACTTTTCTATAGTATGTAATATGATATAAAAATGTGTACAGTACAAAATCCTATATAATAAAAGGCTAATATGCTGTCAGTCATCAGTCAGCTGTTCAACCAATCAAAGTATAATATGCTAATGATATGCTAAGGCCTCTCAACCACTCACTATGATGTGCACTGACCACCAGGGGGCAGACAGTTGAGTGGTCGACCAGTCTCTATGATGTGCACTGACAGCGAGGGGGCAGACATTCCAACTGGTAGCTTAGCTAGGGTCAGACATTTTAGGACTGAGGGAGAGAGGCCATACATGCCCTACAGCCCTCTCATGGCCCCACCCCACTGGCCAACCTCTCATGTCCTTCCCTGTCTGCAATTGTGCATTGGTGGGGTCCTTTGGCCTGGCCTGTGCTCTTTTATAATCTAGAACCCCTTGGAGGGTGTTTTAAAGCCATTTAAGGTCCAATCCTGTAGGCCAGGCTGAGGGACCCCACTGGTGCATAAAATCATGCATCAGGCCTCTAGTCAAATAAATATAAAAATGTTGAATGTACTTAATTTCATTTCCATTATTGATGTGTAGTTAAATCACTTAAATGTTGTCAGTAAAGTGCTCTGTAAGAGGAATTATGAGTGAGTCCATGTGTTTTTATTTTTGCTGCTCCTAAATTTGGTCTGCGCACTAGACCCCAGGTCAGGTGTCCATCAGGGAGATGCTGCTAGGCCCAGGGAAAGAAGTCAACCCATCGCCCTGGCTGACAGGAGGCTGCGCTCCACCCACTGAGACCTGCAAGGGTGCACCTCTCCCAGGTCCACCCACCCATCCTCCCAGTGGACCCCAGGCCACCAGCCTCCCAGTCCCCATTACCTGCTCATCATGTCTCTATCATTCCGAATACTTTTCCTGAACAATAGGATTTGCTTCACTCTCCGCAGGTTGCCCACACTGGCAGCTTTGTGGATCTCTCCCATGTGCTGGTCTTCATAGTGGGGGATTCTGGTTCCCACGCCACTGGTCCCAGGTTGGGTGGGGGAGTCCATGGCCACCATGCTGGGACTTCTCAGAAAAGAAAAATTCTTTTCCATGGCAGAGCGTCTAGGGCTTCAGAGAAGCCTCACCTT